TTTCATGTAGGGCATGGGCCTGTGTATATGGATCCTAGACGGCAGCACATCGTCATATATTTTTCTGAATCAGCTGATTATCGCTTTTATAATGGTAGAACTTTTAGCTTGTATAATGTTAAAAAGAGTATTATTTATTTCGAGACTACCAGTTGATCATATATATGAATCTATTAATCCTACTTCGTTTAGGGTAGTAAGGGGACTGTTAGCTGAATTTTCTCACAACGATATGAGCAGAGATGACCTTCCCATTGAAATTCACATAGTAGATATGAAGAGAAACTGGGTTTCGATGAATCTCTTGAGATAATATTATTAGGGGGACTTTCATTTCATATGAAAGGGAATGAAGAAGAGATTCGTTGGTCGATCTCACCAGATGAGAACGGATGAATCTCGTTCTACTGCAGTCGGTTAGCTTTTATACGATATTCATTTTGACGCAGTCCACAAGACATTCTCCTTCGTTTCGGGTGAAAACGTTCTGAGTATTTAGACGCTAACACGCACAAATATACATATTCATACAATCGAGCAAAAATAACAGGACCACTATGAAAGAAAATTCACCAAACCACTCTATATCAATCTATCTAGGTTTTTAATTTTCATTTGGCTCATCATTCATCACCTTAAACGAAATTGGATGAATACATCTATATAAGAAGTAAGCTAGAGCCGGATAGTGTTCTTGGCCTAGTTTTAATGTAAGACTCTTACAAGAGTGAAACCCAGCTCTGATGATGTCCATCATATGACGGACGAATGCTCAGCATGTTTTCACCCGAAACGAGGGAGGAAGTCCTGTGGACTCCGTCAAAATGAATATCGTATAAAAGCCAAACGGCTGCAGTACAACAAGATTCATCCGTCCTCATCTGGTGAAATCGACTAACGAATCTCTTCTTCATTCACTTTCATGCGAACTGAAAGTCCCCCTAATGAAATTCACATAGCCTTGCTTTACCTAATGTTATTCTTATCCAGGGTCGACGAAAGTTTCTACCTCGCAAAGGTTTTATTAACCCCCCAGATGGACTTAAATCATGACAGTGCAGCGTGTAATCTCGACACGTTAGCCACTATGCCACTACCACAAGTACCTTTGGGCCACAGGGCAGATATGAATTTCAAGGAATACCAGACATTTTTTCCTAATATCATTTTACTAGTCCCTTTATAACCCCAAACGGAATAGGATTAACACTCCTTATACGGAACCTTATTTAGTTTGCAATGCTTTTCATTGCTTGCTCTTTAGATGAGCATTTTAATCAGCATCTCTGTACTTTCATTATTTTAATTTTCAGCTTAATATCATATCTATGGATTTTGGCAATTTCTCTCGTTTTTTCGAGAATTCTGCGTCGTTTAGTGTTATCAGGTCTAAAAATTTAAATCAGGTTGGAATGTTGATTCCTGAATAGCTCTGCTTTTTATGAAAGTGAATTTTTGCTGCTTAGTGGACATTTTTGGGATTCACTTATTTAGCTAATGAAAGAAATTGCAAATATGCAGAACGTGAACGCAAATTGACTATCTATATTAGTTTATTGTCTTCATTTACTTTTTACCTAGTGATCAAGAGATAGTATTTATTTGGATTCGCTTCTATTTTCTTATATTACGAGAAGTAGCTAGCACTCCTAGATAATTGAGCAATCATATGACTTTGAGCGCTTCTAGTTTTTATTGTGGCAAATCCACTTCGAAATCTTGTTTTATGATGGCCTTGCTATCTACAAATAAAAGAAAGCATGCTAGCATATACGAACAATTTTTGCTACCCATGGCTTCCTTTTTAAAACTACGTTTGATGTTCATAAGTGGTCATATGTTACTTCTGACAGGTAAATTTATATTTATCAATTAGATCACCTTTCTCAAATGCGCCTAATGCTCCTTGCCTTTATTCTTTCTCTGTCTACGTATACTCATACTTATGAGCATTATTAAACCACTTATTCCCTTCAGTTCTCTGCATGGATTGCAAGATGAATTTCGACGATAACGCAGCCTTTCGACAGAAGGAGATCTTCAAACTGCGGGACTGGGCTCAAGAAGATGAACGAGACGTCAGGGCTGCACAATCCGGCCTTAACTATATTGGCCTGGATGGAAGTATTGGTTGCCTAGGTAAGTTCTAGCCTTTTGAACTGTTTTATTTAGACGGCTGAGGCAATGGACTTATTTCATGCCTATGCTTTGTGTCTGTTTAATTCGCTTTGTAGCATGATACTCTTTGTGGTATCGGGCTTAAGCAAGTTTAGTTGCACTGAGCTGAGAAACGACGTATACATCTAACTATGGGACACGTATCAACACTTGAATGCTGATAAGGGCTATTTACCACATTTTTTGACTCGATTGTGCATTGCCTTAGATTCTGGTTTTTGACATCTTATTTAGGTATTTTTGAAAGCGTTCTAACGGTAATCTTTTATTAAATTTATTTACTTATTTGCTGAAGGCATCAGGAAGAAACGGTTATTGAGCCAAAAATTATACACTACATTACTCTTGTTCATTCCCTTTTTGGGTTAGTGATCAGACCCATGCTAAGTCGAAACTGCATCCACCTAGGATAAGAATACATTTTGGGAAGCAAATTTAAGTGACGTCGTGATACTTACTTATATCATTTATCAATCCTTCATTACCTTATGCTACCTCGGAACGACTAGGCATGAATGTTGATTTATATGTATATTTACAGGTACACTCGATCTACATGATAACGTAGCTTAAGTGCAAATTTTTCTTGGCGCGGCAGGATTTACTCTGTCAGCCCAAACCCGTCAGGCGTTGAGAAATCAAATGAAAGCTAAACATTAA